CAAGCTGAAAATTTCATGCGATTTGATTGCTACTGACCCAGAATTGATTTTGAAGTGAAATTTCATGATTTAAAAATTCTATCTATATTATTTAATATATGTTTCTGCTTGTTGATCACTAATGATATCAGATTCAAAAGAAAGATTATAGCAGTATCACAACTGATGATTATTTCTATGAATGTGTTTTTTTTTATCATAGTAATAATTGTCAGTAATGAGATAACAAGTTTCATTTACCATGTCCTTAATTATTGCTTTAAAAAGTTTGTTATGATCATAAAAATTGACAATCAAACACATTTTTTCATTTATATGAAGTCAATATAACAGATTTATGTCGATCATAAATCTTTTACACTTGAATTTTAAGGGTCAGAAGTAAGAGCAAAAATATTTCAATAGATGTCACCGAGCACTTTTACCCAGTTCCTATGCCCGTAGATGCTAACATTTAGGATTTACGAAAATAATTTAAATCCATCATGATAATTTTACATCAATGATTGCGTCTTTTTAATTATGTGAATTTTTCTAAAATATATTCAACTATTAATCTATAATCAAACTCTTTTTCACTTCTATACAAATGTTAGGGTAAAAAATGAACAGTATTATGTAGCAGTAAAATATTCCAAATTGACGAGTATCAATTATACTTTTATATTACCCAATCTGATGGTTATATGGCTATAGATTTCAAAACACTCATTATACATTTGATAATATATATGTTCGAATTCAATGAAATAGTCAATCATTTATAAATTTTATTTTATATCAATTAATTTTCTATTTATATCGATTTCATTTATTAAAAAAAAAACGACATCTAATTGTATCAAAATTTACTCGTCTATGTATTAACATAGTTATAACATAAACAAATCCAGCTAAAAATAATCCAACAAACCAAGCATAAATATAGATATGATCAAAAAAATTTTTTTCTCGATTTTGATTCAATTGTAAACTTCTTAAAAATCCTGACATATTTGGTGCAATTCCAATTACAAGTGCTAATATAGAAATCCAATTCATAGCTCGATTTGTATATAATGGATAAGTATCATAATATAATTGAAAAATTTCTAATTTTTGTCTTCGTAATAAATAATAATCTCCAATAATTATACCAGTAATAGGACCTAATAACGCTGAATAACCAATTAACCATGTAAAAATATATTCTTCTGAACTTGATAATAATTTCCAAGGCATAATAATAACAGATAAAATACAAGTTATTAAACCACCAGTTTTAAATGATATATATCGTGGTGATAAATTAGCAAAATCATTTGCTGGTGAAACAATATTTGCTGCTATATTTACTGAAACAGTTGCTATTAATACACCTAATAATGAAATAATAGCTATGATTATACGTATTGGTGTTGAAAAAAAAGCATGAGAAGGAGAAGTTATAACTGAAAGTAAATAAACAGGATCCCATAAATTTCCTGTTACATCCTTAAGTACATCTTGTGCTGTACTTGTTATAATAACAGCCATAGTACTAAATATGAGCATAGTCAAAGGTAATCCAAGTGATTGACCAAGCATTTGATCATGTTGACTTCGACTAAATCGTGTAAAATCTGGAATATTTAATGCAAGAGTTGACCAAAAACCAATTGTACCTTCAACCAAAAAAACAAAATAATAATTTTTTTTATTAACAAAAAAAAAAAAAAATCTTACTTGTCAATGAAGGTATAAATATCATCCAAAATTCATGAAATGTTTGAAATTTTGAAGGTTTATATAACATAGAACCTAAACCTTTAGCTTTTACAACCAACCAAACAAGAAGAACAGTAGTCATAATAAGTACAATTGGTGCTGCCCAATTTGCGAATTTCTTAACAGCTTCCATACCATAACAGATAATTATAATATGTATTGATAAACATAAACCAAATGTTAACCAACTTGAAATAGATAAACTAAGAAATGTCCAATTATGTCCAAGATGTTCATAATCAGGCCAAACAGCTATAACAAATGTTTTAAGAGCTTCACCACCTAAAAATACATTGATACCAAGCCACTACAATACGAAAAAATATTTCATGTTTTTTTTTTTGTTTTTAATAATATTCATCTTTCAAAACTCTTACTCCACACGCAACAAGTCCTCGAAGAATAGCTGGTATATTAGCACCCCATGTACCAAATGCTGATCGAGCTAAAACAGGAAATGGAATTCCATATTTTGTTCCTGGTTGAGCCATAAGTAAAATTGGAATAAGTATAATTAAATTTCCAATACCAATTGTAATTAATGCTTGAAACCAATTCATACCAGATGTAATTAAACTTCCACATAAAGCATAAGTTGGTAAACAATGACACATTGAAATCCATAATGCAGCATAATTCCATGTTGTCCATGTCCGTTGGGATAATGAAGTCGGTGCAAGATTTGCACTATAAAGTTGACTGTTGACTAATTCATTAGGAAGAGTAGAAGATGAATTTTTATTTGGAATAGAAAAGTGTACCATCTCCATTTTATTTTTAATATGAAATGCAACGGCATTTTTCTTAATGTCTTTTTTTTCTTTCTTATCATTCTCATTTGAACGAATTAAAAAAACTATCATTTTATCTTGTTCTTTCTATCATAAAATATAATCATCCCATTAAGGGTATGAATATGTCATCAACTATTTATGTATCGACATACAGAGAACAAAGTTGTGAGCAACCTTTCAATTAATAAAAAGAAACATGTGTTTTCTTTTTTTTTTCTTTCTTTTTGTTTCTATAGTTTTATGCGAGATAAGCATAGTTCTATCGAGGTATATATAGAATAGAGGATTATATGGCACACCATTTTGATTATCTGATCCTGTTCTGTTCTATGAACTTTTTCCTGTACCTAGCTTTGCTCTAAAAGTTTATGTCATAACCTTTAACCTGCATTGCACTACCCTAAGCTGTTTTGCCACTTGACAAAGATCCAAACTTTCAAATCATTTTTTCGTGCAATTTCATTCAATTTGTTTCAATCATAATGCAAACAAAAACAACGCTACATTTCTCGAAAATTTCACATCATCAACAATATCTGAATTTAATAATTAAGAGATTATTTATAAAGATCATCCGAAACTTATCTAACCTGAAATGTGTCGTTTGTAGAAGAATCTTTTCATTTTTTTATGGTGTTGTACACTTTCATCACTCGCTCCTCCTTAAAATTCATAAATATCAATTATGCATGCCTTTCAACGACTTTGCTAATAAAATAAGTTGTGAAAATACTAAGGACTGCTTGTCCAATCATCATAACAACGTATCATCTCTTGAAAATGAAAGTTTGCTGTTAATATAACGATCGATTTCATCAGAATTATAATCACAATTCTGCTCCATATCTCTCATAAGTTCTTGAATAACATTATTTTGCATGACTCAATCGTTTTTCTTTTCTTTTTAGTACCTTATTGGAGATGTTAAAGTGTGTTGTAGATATTATAGATGATTGTTCTTGTTGAGTATCAATTGTTACAATTATTTTTCGAAGAATAAAATAAAGCTCAAAAATTAGAAAACCTCATTCCAAAGATGATATTATATGTTTTTATTGAAAGGAGCTTGTCATTCTGTGAAGAGTCAAAACATCGCATATTTTGAAAAAGTTATGGCTCGACGAGAGAAAATCGATCAAGATATAAATAGACTGTTAAGATGACTATTCTTTACATGCAACCCGTCAGAATTTTAAAAAAGTTATTTTGTATAATGCTAGTTAGTCTTTTAAAAATATTTTCGATGGCATGCCTTTCGGTTCTCCATCGACTACAATCATAATAAAAATGATTACTTTTGTCTTATATTTTGCGTCAATGTTTACCAAAGTGAAATGAGCATACGGCCCGTTCTTTTTTCTTCTCGTCAAAAAGTAAGTGACACAGTTACATCACATAGTAGGAAAAAACCCACATTGAATTTGTTTTGTAAGAGTTACATTTGTATTACTATTGAGCGGAAGAAAGAGAGAAAGCAACAGCAAAAAAAACAAGGTTCGTAACCATTACAAATATTGACTGCATTTTAGCATCAAAGCTGCATCAGATAATAGAAATTGAAAGAAAAGTTTATTAGTTTCATGTAGACACTTTCATGTGCGAGATTTTCACATGGATCAATAGTATATTTTTTATCTTCACGACTCAATTTTCTTCTTGATATGATTCATTGACGACGCAATATTGTATTTTTTTTCCCAACTATAATGACGGAAAATCGGAGAACTCATAGATCAATCGCAATTAGACACACTTTAATAATTTTAAAACTCATCAAACTGAGTTTTATCTCATAGAATTCATTAGCTATTCGCAAACCTAATATGCAGAAGTAAATCGATGATGAATTATGATTATTCAAAAGGATTATTGAGCAATAAATCATCGATTTTCTCAATTTTTCGGCTGAAGTAATCTTTTTTCTAGCTCAGTAACGAGTGAGTTTGGATTTAGCAACATTTTTACTCTTACTGTTTTTCTCCAGACGAAGATGATCGAATTTGAAGATTTAATCCACTTCAGCAATATCTGTTCAAAATGCTATATGAGAAAGAAATGATCTGAAAATCGGTACGTGCAATCTACCATTTGTCTCTTATATGTTGCTGCAAAGTTCTAAGTATATAAGTTACGAAATTGTGTTTTTGTTTTAACGCTTGTAGCATTATTGTTGACGTGCCCATAAATACATGCTTTTTCTCATTCCTTATGGTCTCTTCGTTCCAAGACACGAATACTCATACAGTTTGTATCGAACTAAAGTAAAGAAAAAAAAAAGTTTTTTATATCTACATTTTTTGACTCAAAGAAGATAATGAAGGAAGACAAGTGAGCTGTGTTTCAGAGTTAGTAACAGTCGTCTTTTTTGCGAAGGAAATATTTAGCTATATGAAACTATCCATTTGAAATCGTTTTCCTTTATTCTAAAGAACAAGAAGCTTTTTATTATTTGTAGAAATTATGGCAGTTGAGCTTTACAGCAAAGTTATTGCACGACAAGTTGCCACTGCTTTATATCCTCTTCTTGCCAACGTTGGAACATATGTGCTCAAAAACCTAATTCGAGCTGTAGTGAATATTGCAATACGACGTCCTGTAAACATTGCTGATCTTCAAATCGACAAATCAATATTCCGCGATTTATCAGTATTGAAAAGCGACAGTAAAGATCGATGGAATCATGTATTTACCAATAAATATGGTCATGTGAAACCCCAAACAGATGAAGAAAGAGGGGTGGTAGCATTGGCATTGGAAATGGTACGGAAACTTGGTGAACGTGTTCCTATTTTGAGCAAGGCTGCTGAACCTTTCAAGCGGAAATTTGAGCTCTATTTCAAAGATTCAAACGTAAGAATGTGGGTACGAGAATGTCGCCAAGGAGATTCAGATAACTATTATATCGAAAGTGGTGGAATGTACATCGATTGCAAAGCAGATCCAAATGAACTTGATACTGGTGGTGAACTTTTGAAAATACTCTAACTATTTGACAAGTGTGCTGCGAAAACAATGAACATTTTTAACAAACCATTTCCATCAATTCATGACTAACACATTTCTATTAATTGTTTTTATTGCTTTTAATAACCAAGAATTTATGAAATTTTTCTGCTTCTGTCATAGAGACATTAGCATTCTTAAAGAAAGAAAAGAAAAATTTTGTATACTGACAGGATGCCATAGGTTTCCCGGTACATTTTATTTGAGGTTTTTATAATAAATTTAAACTAGCAAATGTTGATATCAGTGAATTAAATAGTTCATCAGCAATATATGATGATGTAATAAGTCATTCACTCGTTATAGTCAATCGGATGGTGTACATTGTATGCATAATAATTTTAATCAAACAAATGTTGACATCAGTGAATTAAATAGTTTATGATCAACAAGTGATTATGTTATTAATGAATCATATAATGTTCAGTCTCAATCAAATTGTTTTGGTCATTCATATGATTATTTCAATAAATTAAATGTTGACGTCAGTTAAATGAATAATCTACCCTCAACGTGTATTGATGGTAGTGATAAATCATTTACTGATAGTGTTCAATCAAATAGTTTTCATCGTTGATTTGATAGTTTATTATTGATACTAGACTTTGACATTGATAAACATTCAAAAATGAAATTCAGATACTTTTACAAGATAGAGAAGAACTTATTTGGCTTACGATTACGAATTTGAATTAGTCAGACGCGAATTACTTTTGTTTGATTTTTAAGATGTTTTAGATACTTTTTCATTACAATCTAGAAATACATTGATGTATGTTTAAAACAAGAGAAAGCATATGTATGAAATTTTCCTATGTCCGTACGACTCAAAAAAAGCCCACTACGTATCTTCGAATATGAAGAAAACGTGTATTTATGGATATCAGAGTAACCTTCGAATGTTTTTTATAAAAACTTTGATCTGCAAGTTAAGTATTAGCTCCTCTCTTGGTATAACTAACTTCCAATTGTTATAGTAAAAACCCAAATAGAAAAGCAACATCTAGGATCATAATTGGTTGTTACTTAGATTCCACAAGTATTCTAATCAGAAGTGCGCATTATAACTCTGAGAAAGGTGTCATATCACGTTATCTGAACAATCACTCTTAATATTTACAACAGACAAAATTTAAAGACTTAAACGTTATCGCTTAATGTGGCATTGACTGATTTCCGTAAATAGAAAATGACAAAAAATACAAATCAGTAGAAGTAAACTGATAGATACTAGAAGCAATAGTCCTCTTCGTCTTTGAAAAGTGTTACATAATCGATTTCAAGAGTTATTCGGTCAATATTTCTCTACTATACCAGATGCTCAAAAAAATGATTTTGATGATGTCGCAGAAGTTAAGAGTCATGGAAAGATGACGAGTTATGTCATAGAGAAGAAAAAGTCCAAGAAAACCAGAAAAAGTGATGACAGTTGTCAAGTGGTTTCAATTGTTCATATGGCATTTCTAATTAATCAAATTCTGCTTTTACTCAATCAAATAGTTTATAATCTACATATAATGATGTTATTTATTAATCAAATGCTGATGATACTCAATTAATAAGCTTACAATCTTCATTCGATGATGTTCTAAATCAACAAATGACTGCAGATACTGATGACATTGAACCAGTTGAGCTGAAATTATTGACGCATCATTAATTTGTTTTAAATTTATCTAGTATGAAATATTTTAATAAGAGTCCAAAAGTTGACATGATCTTTTATTATTAACAGTAATAAAAAACATGAATGATTTCGTTATTTATTTTAGTTTTCCATTCATGTTTTGATTTAAAATGTTTTCATATATTCATTGTTTAATATGGTTTAATCAATATGTTGGTTTTTTACATAATTTATCGGATTTTACATATTATTTTTGTATAGTCTTGATTATTAATAATATTGATATTGTCAATCGATATACTTTCATTTATTATATGAAATCATTTGAAAATATCATTAATTATTGATACCATTATGTTTTGTCTGTTTTTCAATTACAAGATTGTTCCAATGAACTATTTTATTTGAGAGAGAAAAGTCACTTTATTTCTTATGATCCAATAAGATAATAAATATTACTTAAAATACAGATTTACATAGTTCTTTCATGATTCTCTGATAATTTTCATCAGAGAAAAATATCCCTTTCATTTTCATGATTGGTTATAACTAGTTTTTCAAATAATTAGATCGAAGTAAAAATATATCAAACTGATATGCACAGATATGCATGAGCATATTTTTCAAATAGCTTATAATTATGGCAAACTAATTCACTCTAGCTAACACAAGAAATACTCCTATTATAAGAAGTGTCCATACGATGACATTTTTGCATCCTGGTCTGCAAAATTTATTAATCGCCTTGATTGTTTTTTTTTCTAGGTGAGTTCAAAGGAGAGCGAGATAGTTGTACTTGTACAGAGAATATCATCTTTATATTTATATTCGGTTCAAATATAGATTACAAAGTTCGTTTTATGAAAAAAAAAAACATAAATTATAAAAGAAAAAGGAAAATATAGATAACATAATATGCATATGTTGAGTATAAAACTTGATAGCATGAGTAGTAGAAATATTGGAAAGAGAAAACACCATTATCAACTACTTTCGTCATAAATGAAGTGTGAAGTCGTTTAAAAAGATAACTTTTGCAATTTGATGTGCATATGGATCTGATCGAGAGAAAAACTCATACTAACATTCATACTCCACATTCAACATGTCTAAATCAACGATGAAAACAGCCTGCATTTCTGACGACCGAACTGATATCAGAACGGACACTGTACTAACATATCCTCGATGAAATACTGGGAAGACCAAATAATAATTTTGAGTAAGTTTATATAATTAGAACACGAAAGTCAAAAAGATAGACTGATAGACTGACCAAGCCGAAATCCGAATCAGTAGTGTTTTCATCGCAAGTCTGCATGACATTTTAAAAACAATATTACGTTTTCATCTTTGTAGAGCATTTAGTTTTCTAATGAAATAGAACTTCAAAAAAAACAAACATTAAAGATCATCTTTGAAAAAGTTACTTTCCACACAAGATACCAGTTTTTCGAAAGACTACATTTTTTATTCATTCAATAAAAAGCATAAATACTCTTTTTCTTCGTTTTATACATACCATTTTAATTCTATCATCAAAAAAAGTTTAGTTTAATACAAATATGTTTATTTATATTTTGTTCAATTTTATACCAAAAAAAAAAAAACCAAGAAAACAATACATTGAAAATAGACAACAACCAAAATGAAAAACCAAAACACATTCACATATCTATACATCCAAATACATATATATATATATATACACAAACATACAGGCTCGTCTTCAATTGGAACTCTTATTTCATATTCTTCAACAATCGCATGGATCAAGTTGATACTGTTTAAAGAAAACCCAAAGACATGTACAAAATACACATATAATGATAAATACAAAACGAAAACAAAAAACTACTGTTCTAATTACAAAAAAAAAAAACAACGAAACAAATTTTTTAATTTATTTGCATGGAATAGAAAGAAGTTAACGACTAGCAAATACACATAGATACGAGAATTCTCAATTAAAGAACAAAAAATCACAACACGGAAGCACCCGTTGTTGACTAGAAAGAAAAAAATACCAATAAATAGAGATTAATTTAATTAAATCTTGTCTTTTATTTGATCAGAACTGAAAATAATTGGATAATTATCAATAATTGCTTGAATTAATGGTTTAGCTTTTTGACAAATTTGTTCAGCTGTACGTAAATCATGAAATTGTGGTTGAAATAAATTTGGCCACCATAAAACAGCTAAATTTGATGAATCCATATGAGTTAATGCAGCATGTTGTGAAACACTAAAATAATATTTTTTGTTTTTAAATATTTACAGTGATTGCAAAAAGTCTCGCTAGCAAGTAAAATGTACCTAAAGTTTAGTCCTTTACTCTCACAGTTTGACCACAGATAGAACATATTGAATTCTGATTGACCTTCGTGCGGAGAAGCTGGAAGGTCAATACAGGTTTTTTCTTTAGACAAGGATGTCTCAATATAGAAAACAAATCTCACGAAGTTAGACTCCTTACTCGATAGCTCAGCACTATCTACTAAATCATCAATAAAAATTTTCATTTCAAACGGCTTTAATTTGTCTGATTTATGAAGTATTCTATGGATAATGTTCACATGAGAGTTGATAAGAATCGTGGAAAAGCGACTGGTATGTTCGGTTAATTTTAATCATTCCAGTGAGTGCCCTACTCTAATGAAATTTTCCTTGAAAATCTCACTATAGTGAATTAAAGTACCTTATCTATGACATACACATTTGAATCTTTATTTGTTAATAAGAGAATAGAGATTAACGCATTTGCATAGTAGAAAATCAGAAAGATGTCAAAAAAATTTTTTTTAGGCTCTAGGGAAAAATCTAGTGTGTTCAGTGTAAGTCCTTTGCATTAAGACCTATCGACCTCAAGTTTCTGCTTGAGATCAGGATTTATCGAGCTCTATTTATAGTCAAAATTTCAATTTCTTGTAGGATGTAAATGTGAAACACGATATAGCTATTATTCATATGTTCACGAGAAGAATTCCCAAAGTACTTATTACGGCCTCTGGAGAAGGAGGAAGTGAGTGCAAATTTCTATCCCATAGACTTCATCATTCCTTTTAGATCGTGTTTTGCAAACAATAAACTAAACTTACAAATGAAGATGTTTAAAAATAAATTTATTTGTTCGATATTTAAGATCATTGGTACGTAATAAAGCTTTTTGTATTGGAATAAAATTTTGTTCACGTAATTGATCAACTAAAATATAAATTTGTATAAAAAAATAAATCTTTTTTTTTTTTTGTTTTTATTTTTCTTTTATTACTTGTTAATAATTGACATTGATCAAATTGTTCTAATGATAAAATTGGTTCATCTAATTTTCTCATCATATCTTTAAATGCTG